TAACTGATTGGAATACCTAACAGGGGTTCTAGAACTTGCCCAGTGAAATAGGCCTCTTGCAAAGCCTTTGCAGAGTATAGGACCTTAGGTGGAATCCTGAGTCCCATCCAGAACCTTATGAGGTGGGACATTCCACTAGCAAGGATAAGCTGACCAGCCTGGAAAGCTAGAGCAACAGAAAATACATCTTCAAAGAAAGATTATCAGGAAAAACCCAAAACAAAAATGTTGACATGACTGGCTACTATAAGAATAAGCAAGCTGTTCTCCAGGAAGCCTACAAGGTAAGCAGTCAAGTCCCTTCAGGACAATACCCCCCACTAATTCTGAAACTCAAAGGGAACACACAAACAGACATGTAAGCTTGCTGGCGACCATACTGGTCTACTAGTGAATAGAAGGGGAGGCAGGGGGAAGCAGCAATGAAGAAATGGGCTGAGTTCAACCACAGTCTATTGACCCCCGTTTACCTGGAGACGAGAGAGAGAAGAGGAAGGACTGGTTGGTCCAAAATGTGGTGAGACCCGAGGACACTTGAGCCCATGGACAAGGACATAGCCACAGAGGGCTAGAGCTGAGAGTGAAGCATCCAGATGATATGGAGGGGAGATGCACAAGAACACCCAAACTTACAGACAGTACCCATTTGACCCAGCCTGGATAACTTGATAATCAGAACTCGACTAGAAGATTATAAAAATAAAAATAAATTTTTTTCGGGGGGATAAAGGAAACAAGGGTAAATTGCCACAATTTGATGAACTTGACCTATACTCATGGAGGTTGTTAAGTGCCGTCGAGTCAGATCCGACCCATAGAGACCCTATACAGGGTTTCTGAGGAACGACTGATGAGCTTAAACCGCCGACCTTGCAGTTCAAACGGCTTTGCAGTCTGGTGCATTAATTCACAGGGCCACACCAGAACTCATGGAGATAGTTACTCTAAATACCAACAGAGAGAGAAAAAGTCTTCATATCAAGTTATCAATGGTAACCCCTCTGTACACAGAGTAGATAGGGATAGGCAACTTAAACATTGGCTACCTAAAATGAGGGGGTGACTCGATGGCACTTAACAACAAAAGGCACAAAGTGACTGGTTTACAAGAGTTTCAAGAGTGAGTTTAGATTAAGAGTGTGTGGAGGAAGAAAGAGTCCCCATTGAATAGTTTTTATCTTGTTTAGATGGGTCTGGTGAAAAGAGATGGGGAAAAGATTCATATGATTCAACAGTGAATAATTGTTATCATGACTAATTGCGACTGTCACAATTGTAAAGGTAGAAATTTTGAAACAAAAACGGGAGTGGTTAATATTACAGTTCACAAACAGAGGACCCTAGGACCATCAAGGGAGAAGAGCACAAGGAGAATGCAAGACCTTATCCAGAGAAGCATTGACTCCAGAGAAGAGAGGCAGAGATGGGGGCATGGAGAGAGGGAACAGCTGAGGACTCCAGATTCATGGGAAGGGAGGGACTAAGAGCTGGTAGCCAGAAGGCAGACTTGCAGAATGTGCCCTTTAGAGATATAAATTATTATATATTCCTGAGTGTTGTTTTTTTTTTTTTTTTAAAGCTGAAGTAAATAGAGATAAATACTTTTAACTAATGGTACGTGGAAGGGATTATAATCACTGTAATGAAACATGGTGTATGCCTTATTGAATGTAAAACTGATGATCTACCCTGTAAACTTTCACTCTATCCACAATAAAAACCTTGAAAAAAAAAAAAAAGATAATAGGAGGACAGTTGGCAGAGGCAAGATGACTAAGACACGGGGAGGAACACAAGAGTTAAAGAGAAGAGAGGTAAATACTGTTAACTGGTGGTACCTGGAGATTACAATCATTGTAACGAGCAAAGTATATGATTTGTTGAATGTAACTCTGATGATCTGTTCTGTGAATATTCACTCAATTCATAATAAAAAAGTACAAAAAAAAAAAAAAGTTTTAGGTTGAGCTGCAAGCTGTGAATGCACCTTTGTCTTTACTTCTTCATCAGAGGTTAATCTTTATCCTTGAAGGACTGCTTTCAGGGGACCAAACAGGTGAAAGTCTGATGGAGCAAGGTCAGGACTATTGGGAAAATGCTTTAGACCTCAAAAGGAAGTTTTTGCAGAGTGTCAACATATTGGGCAGAGGTGTAGGGACGTGCATTGTCATGCAAGATCATAATGCCCTTGGATAGCAGTCCTCTGAGTTTTATCCAAAGTTTAGGCTTCAGTTCTTTAGTGGGCATCTCACTGTAACAAGCACTGTTGATTGTTGAACCTTTTCCTGATAGTGTTCTAATACTGGCCCATGAGAGTCAGAAAACTGTAAGCATCAATTTTCCAGCTGATGGTTGACTTTTGAATTTCTCCTTGGTTGGAAATTGAGGATGTTTCCATTCCACACTCTGCCGTTTACTCTCAGGCTCATAGTGATGAACCCATGTCTTATCAGCAGCAAAGATTTTTTAAAACAGACTTTGAGCATCGGTCCAAATTTTGTTTGCAGATATTCAAATGCTTCTGTTTATGCTCTTCCATGATTTGTTTCAGTACCTATCTCACACAAACTTTTCAGAACCCATGTTTGTCATGAATTATTTCATAGGGAGAGTCATGGCTGATTTGCAAATGAGTTGCCACATAGTCCACTGTTACTTGTCTATTGGACAGAATCGTTTCATGGGCATGCTCAATGTTGTCATTGCCGTGGACGTGACTTATATAACCAGAGTGCACATCATTTTTGACTCACCCTGTTTTGGAATTCTGAGGAGCGGCTTTTGAGTTTGAACCGGGAACCTTGGGGTTCAAACCGACCTTGTGGTCCAGTGCTTGTCCTATAGTGCCACACCAGGATGTATGTATATAGTGTGTGTGCGTGTGGAGTTTACATTATAGAAAAATCAGATAATGCAGGCTTAATTAAAAGATGGTAAACTTCACAATACTACTTACAGAACTTCAGTTAACATGTCTGTTTTTATGTATAGCCCACATCATTTTGTGAATTTTATTGGCTAGTAAGCAGATACTTAATAAATCAAAGTAAACGTCTTAACAGTAGACATCTACAAGAAAGTTTCTATTACAGATCTCTCAATGATTGGTTCCATATGGGGGGGGGGGGGTGTGTGTGGATGGAAGGAGTCCTGGTGGGGTAGTGGGTTAATCATGGGAACCAAAGGGGCACTACTTTATCCTCAAGGATTGCTATGAATTGGAATCCACTAGATGACAGTGCGTTTGGCAAGTGTGTATGGAGCAGCACTCGTGATAAAAGAATGATAGAATGCTAGAGCCATCAAGCGAATCCTCATCTTATAGTTTGCAGAGAGACTCAGGTACACGCAGGGAAATGAATTCCTGGTACACTGACTTGATGAAGGTCCTCATTCCAAAGTCCAGAGCTCTTACCACTTCTGTAGCCTGCCCTTTTTCTTTAATCATTCATGGGAAACAAGAGAAAGCCTTATACTAAACGGGAACGAATTCCTTCATCACAACCTCCCATTCTGCTGTTTAGATTGCTTCCTCTCTCTGGGGTGTCCAAAATATCAGAAGCAACAGATACCCTCGAAGCTCTTTACCATGCCTTATATTCCAGGCTTAGACGAGCTGGAGTTGTTTCTCATTAGGCTGGGAGTAGCACCGCAGCGTAGCCTAGGAAGCCGGGGCCCACCGGAAAAGGGTGGGGCGGGCTCGGCCACTGAGACCTGCCATCCGCGCCACCAGCTCCCCGCCAAGGTGCTAAGGATTCGCGGAAGTTCACTCGGTCGGTAGCAGGCCGCCTCCGGCGACCCACGCGCGCAGGGATGCTTGTGCTGGCCCAGGCGCTTCCTTCTCAGGGCCCGCTGCCAATCCTAACAACCCAGCCTAGCCTTGGTGATCGCGGGCAACAAGGGTGGCGTAGCCCCACCTTACACCAACAAACCAGGAATAGTCACGTGAGGTGGGCCGCTGGAACCAATGGGCGGCTCGCGCCAATGGAAGGGATCGGCTGACCCTCATGACGTCACAAAGCTGGCGGGGACAACGCTCTTCTTCCGCCCCCGCCCTCCCGACCGTGACCCGCCCTTCTGTTCCCCGCCCACCCTCCACTGTACAGCCAATCAAGAGGCTGGAAGTGCTCTGTCTCGAACGTGAAGGCGGGGCAGGGTGGCGGCTCGGCGGGACAGGGGCGCGGAGGGGGCCGGCCGGGGGCAAGGGGTAGGACGCCGTGGAGTAGCGTGGGGCTGCGTGGAAGAGGTCCCGCGTGCCGCCGCCTCGCCGGAAGGAAGAGGCTTGTCCCCCGCCGAACCCGGTTCGTATCCCCTGTTCTTGCACCAAGCTGCCGCGTCCGGAATCCCCTTCCACCCGCCGAAAGTTGTGAGGAGGGCGCCGGGACAGGGGCGTCCAACGTGTGTAGGTCGATGCGGCCGCGAGGCGTGCGGAGGGCGGAGCGTTTGTGGATGAGGCCGGGGAGGGACTCGTCCTGAGCCCCCGGTACGCTCGGGGGCTGCGGAGAGTGCGTACGGGGGTCTGCTGCGCTGCGTCCGCAGGGGCCGCCGGGGCCGCCGGGGCCGCTGTCATTCCTGGGGCCGCCGACGGGACCCGCGGGAGGGGGAGTTCCAAGGAGGCTGCAGCGCTCTAGGTGCGGGTGTCTCTGCCGGGGGTCTGGTGTGAGCCGTCGGGCAGTCCGCCGCGGGCCGGTCCCAGATGTCTGGACTGAAGCCAGCAACGCGTGGGGCCGGGCGGAGCGGGTAGCGGATGCGGCGCGCCTTGGGCTCAGCGCCCGGGCTGCATGGAGGGCCGTCCTCTGGGCGCGCTTCTGCTCGCATCGTGGCCCCTGCCGCCTCAGGCTGTGGTTATGGCTTTCCTTATGCGGGGTGGGTTTGTTGGTTTCCCTCTTCTCCCCACCCCTTTCTGCCGTCTGCATCCTCTTCCCCCTCCCAGCCCATTCACCCGGCTGGAGCGAGCCCTCGCCCCTCCTCCGCTCCCGCCTCCCCCGCCGCTGCCTCTAATGAGCATCTCTGCCTTGCTTTCAATGGGCCGGTGCTGCTGTCGTTGCTGCTGTCCGCGCGGGTTGTGGATGTTGTCGTCTCCGTGTTGTGATGACAGGAGAATGTGTGTGTGTCCCGGGCCCAGACGAATTGGTAGGTATTCACCTAACTATCTGCGTTGAGTACCCAAAGGATGCTGACTGGATTAATGTATGGTTAGTTTTATATGGTTCCTCGTGGAATTAAGGCTGAGGTGGATCGGAAAAGGGGACAAAGGCGTCCTGGGTTAGGATAGCTTTGATGGCTTAGGGAGTGCAGTTTTCAGGTTAGGGGCAAAGAAAACTAATCAAACAAGTGCTGGCGTGATGCTTCTTGTCCTGAGAAGGAAACCGGTTCTTTTCTTCATGTAGAGATATCAAGAGCTGTGATATGGTTAGAAAACGCTGAAAAATCGTGAAGAATCTTTATGTAGGATGCTTAATGCAATGGGATTACATAAACTCGAGTTCTGACACATTTAATGACTAGTATATCATTTCCTTTTTCATTCAACCCCAAAAGCTTTGCAAAGCTTAAGAGCTCCTGAGTAGGTGCAGTCACAGCATTTCCTACTTAATGTGGTCCGAGGATTTATTGATGAAGTGGAATCATTTCTTGGCACAAGCTCTGTCGAGCACATCACTAAGAAAGGATGGGTTCTCGCCGGTGTTTCTGGTTGCAGCACATCTTTATTAGTCATTTGGCAAAATCAGCCAAATCTGCCCAGGACCAAGATGCTGCATCTAATGTTGCTGCGACTCGATCTTAGGGCAGAAACTTCTCTGTGTAATTGTGGTCAGCAATACCTTGAAAATTTGACATTGCTCCAGTTTACTAACAATGTGTTGTACTTATTGACTGATCGAAAGCCTTCTACTTCCTTAATTTAGCAAGTTTGTCAGCAAAAGTTTGGTTTCGTAGGGTGGTTTTTTGTTGACTCAAAAAGCTATGCAGAGTATTTGAATACTCACTGTTTATGAAATCATTTTAAAATACTTTTGCTTCTAAGAGTGTCTGGCCTGGTGAGGATAATATATCACTTATATCAGTGTTGATAATTCTCATTAATCACAGATCATGGTTTTCATAAATTACAGCTTCCCTAAGAATTTGTCTTTTGAAGGCAGGTTGGGAGTTGAAGGATTGGAATACAATCTCAGTCCATGTTGTTGAGCTCCTTAAAAACAGAAAGACAGCATTGATAAAATTTACTCTTGCTTTTTTTATTTTGAATTTTGAGAGCATTCATCTGGAAGGAAAAATGTAGCTTATCAGGTATATGTGTTGCTTTGCTGTTTGAATATAACTATTCTTGAAAGCACTTGCTGCATAAATCACTCACTTTTTTGCCAGAAGATTTCATTCATTTTGCAGTCGACTACAAAAGTTAAAAAAAAAAAAGAAAACAAGTGAATTTCAGGAAACTGCAGATTTCCTGGATTGTTACACCTGACTAAGCTGTCAGAATCAAGCCTTGTTCATGTACCTGTCAGATCACAACACTCACACACTAAGAGTACTTTAATCAGCCTGCATTCTAAATGATGGGCAAAGACTGTTTCCTGTAAGGTTCTTAGGTGTTAAAGTAAGGACAAATGTAGATTTACATGTATAAAGTTGGGGAAAAAATACGTTTCACTAAGATTGGCATATGTTTTCATTTTAGACAATAGAGAATCATTATACAAAACACAGAATGAGTTGAACATGCTTTCTGCATGAATACGACCTGAAAAGCAGTGTGGTTTATATCTGGAAGCCAATGTCATGTGGCTCAACATTTGAGCACATCTCCTGGCCCAGTCATGTACATTTAACCTTTGGATGACTTTCAGCTATTCAATTTGAAGTGCTGTTTATTTAAGTGGTTTGTCCTGATAGATTCTTGTTCTCCTGGAATTTCTAATTTTCATTAGAAAAATAGAAAATATATTTCAAGGTACTTACTAGTTATGATTCTGATTTGCAGAAATCTAGCCATCCCCTTTTACTACCTAATCTTTTCTTCGTGCAGTTAGAATAAGAGTAGTTCTATCTTTGTATAAGGGGTCCTTTATAACTTGTTTACGCAGTGCTTATTTCTGAAGCCAACAAGAATCAGTGATCAGTCGGTGATTTTTTTTTTTCTGTTCCCTATTCCAATTCCATTTACCACTTCTTTCTAACTTACTCTTCAAAAAATGTCACTCTCATGACAGTATTTTTTTTCAGTCGGTAGTAAGATACAAATGATTTAATGTCCTTTTTATTTACTGTGTGTGTTTTCTTATTTAGAGTATTTCTAAAACTTGTTTTTCACTAGCCCAAGTGACTACTTTGAGGCAATAGCTTCAAAATTTCACGGAAGATAATGTTATTGAGGAATATGAGATTTTTTTTTCATGTATAACTTACCTGAGTTAATGATAGCATATTCTTCAGATTTTCTATTTAGCTGTCCAGCAAAATATTTTCAGCATCATATCATAGATTAATAAGTATGTTTTATTCATGATAATACTATGTTTTTAAAATCCTAACTTTAAACTATTATTTTTATTATTCATTTCTTTTCTGTGGTAAATACTTTTTTATTTTAATGAAAGAGAATTTTTCTAGTAGAGAATTTTACTTGTGACTCATAATGTCATTGTTGTAAGTGCCATCATTGTGACCCAGTACAGGGACTCCTGCGAACAGCTGGTGGGTTTGAACCACCAACCTTGTGGTTCACAGTCCAGTGCTTATCCTACAGCACCACACCAGGAGTCCGTGCTTCATAATAGATGAAAATAACATTTTTGTAGCTTTTCCTTATGGCTAATAACAAGGACAAAGGTAGCAAGTAAAATCCAGAACTGAGACCATTTGCATTACTAACCAAGTTTTAGAATTATTAGAGTATAGAAACACTCAAAAAAAAGTTTTTATTACCTTGAAGTGCACAACAGTAAAATTAAACAGAGAATGAAACCTGCATTTGATTTTAAGACTCACCAGAACGAAAGCTAAAAACAAAACATGTAAAGGTATATGATGTTGTTGTTGTTGTTAAGTGTCACTGAGTTAATTTGGACCCATAGCAATCCTGTATAGGGTTTCCAAGGAGCAGTTGGTGAGCTTGAACCACTGATCTTGCAGTTCAAATGACTTTGCAGTCTGACGCATTAGCCCACAGCGCCACACCAGGACTCCCATGTAATGTTAGAAGGCATATAATTTTGGAGTCCTGGTGTGGCACTGTAGGATGAGCTCTGGACTGCTGACCACAAGGTTGGTGGTTCAAACCCACCAACTGCTCCTTGGAAACCCTAGACAGGATGTCTCTGAGTCAGAACTGACTCTATTGCACTTAAAACAACAACCAGAATGTTAGAAGAGGCCTTGGATAGCATCTATCTACTCTGATCTGCTTGCTTAAATTTCGGAAACTGAGGTTCAGAGAGGGGAGCTAGCTTTCCAGGGTTATTTGGTGAGTTAGTTACAGACTGAATCCCTTAGTGGGCCAGATTACTACAGTGGTCTAGAGATGCAGAGTTTGCGAGACCAGCCATGGGGTACAAGAAGGAAATGGAATTTTTACTGCTACTTGGTTATTAAAACTTTTATTTTTTGTATATGTTATTAGAATATTATGTATATGTATATCACAGGAGTCCTGGGGTGGTGCTGTAGGATAAGCACGGACTGCTAACTATATCACAAGGTTGGTGGTTCAAGCCCATCAGCTGCTCATTGGAAACCCTATACAGGGTTGCTAAAAGTCAGAACCAACTCCATAGCACTCAATAGAAACAACATCTGTATATCACAAGTAATTTAAATATACATATGTTGGATGGTGCATCTTAACAGTTTTTCCTGATTCCCATGTGTGATCAAATGCTAATGATTGTCCAGGTGTCTAGACACAGGATCTTCATAAATAGAAGCCATCTTTGCATCATCTGGGAGATCCAAGGCCTTTTCTAAGGCTATTAAAGGAGAAGGATGATTGGCCAGGTAGACTGCTGTTGCATAATGTTATATAACCTTCGTCCCTTCTTTCCCGAGCCAATTTTATTGTACATTCTGCACCGTTTGAACTACACAAAGAAATACGAAGAAAAAAGAAAAGTACAGCTAGAAAACAGTATGGAAGAAAAAAGAAAAGTTCAGTCCTGGCTCCATAAATGATTGGGAATTGTGCTTAGTAGAATACATCTTGTAGAGGTAGTGCATGATATGTAAATAAAATACAGTGCCTCCTAGCAAAAGGACCCAGCCTGTAGATTTACCTGTTAAATACTTTTTTTTAAGCAAAGATAGATGAATTCATCTCAGCTGTAACTCTTTTTCTTTGTGTGTATTTGTCTAATTTGCTGTGTAGGAATCCCAGTCAGAAGTCCCAGCCTGCCGCTGTTTTCGGATGCAATGCCAGCACCGTCTCAACTGTTTTTCCCTCTAATTCGGAACTGTGAACTGAGCAGGATCTATGGCACTGTGTGTTACTGCCACCACAAACACTTCTGCTGCTCACCACCTCCTGTTCCTCACAGTCGCCTGAGATACACACTCCATCCAGCATATGCTACCTTTTGCAGGCCGAAGGAGAACTGGTGGCAATACACCCAAGGAAGGAGATATGCGTCCACTCCACAGAAATTTTACCTCACACCTCCACAGGTCAACAGCATCCTGAAAGCTAATGAGTATAGTTTCAAAGTACCAGAATTTGATGGCAAAAATGTCAGTTCTGTCCTGGGGTTTGACAGTAACCAACTGCCTGCAAATGCACCCATTGAGGACCGACGAAGTGCAGCAACCTGTTTGCAGACCAGAGGGATGCTCTTGGGGGTTTTTGATGGTCATGCAGGTTGTGCTTGTTCCCAGGCGGTCAGTGAAAGACTCTTTTACTATATTGCAGTCTCTTTGTTGCCCCATGAGACCTTGTTAGAGATTGAAAATGCCGTGGAGAGTGGGCGAGCACTCCTACCCATTCTCCAGTGGCACAAGCACCCTAACGATTACTTCAGTAAGGAGGCATCTAAACTGTACTTCAACAGCCTAAGAACTTACTGGCAAGAGCTTATAGACCTCAATACTGGGGAGTCAACTGATATTGATGTGAAGGAGGCTTTAATCAATGCTTTCAAGAGACTTGACAATGACATCTCCTTGGAGGCCCAAGTTGGCGATCCCAATTCTTTTCTCAACTACCTGGTGCTTCGAGTGGCATTTTCTGGGGCCACTGCTTGTGTGGCTCACGTGGATGGTGTTGATCTTCATGTGGCCAATACAGGTGATAGCAGAGCCATGCTGGGTGTCCAGGAAGAGGATGGGTCTTGGTCAGCAGTCACTCTCTCTAATGATCACAATGCTCAAAATCAAAGAGAACTGGAACGGCTGAAATTGGAACACCCGAAGAATGAGGCCAAGAGTGTGGTAAAACAGGATCGGCTGCTTGGCCTGCTGATGCCTTTTAGGGCTTTTGGAGACGTCAAGTTCAAATGGAGCATTGACCTTCAAAAGAGAGTGATAGAATCTGGCCCAGACCAGCTGAATGACAATGAATATACCAAGTTTATCCCCCCTAATTATTACACACCTCCTTATCTCACTGCTGAGCCAGAGGTAATTTACCACCGATTAAGGCCTCAGGATAAGTTTCTGGTGTTGGCTACTGATGGGCTGTGGGAGACTATGCATAGGCAGGATGTAGTTAGAATTGTGGGTGAGTACCTAACTGGTATGCATCACCAACAGCCCATAGCTGTTGGTGGCTATAAAGTGACTCTGGGACAGATGCATGGCCTTTTAACAGAAAGGAGAGCCAAAATGTCCTCAGTATTCGAGGATCAGAATGCAGCAACCCATCTCATTCGCCATGCTGTGGGCAACAATGAGTTTGGAGCTGTAGATCATGAGCGCCTCTCCAAAATGCTTAGTCTTCCTGAAGAGCTTGCTCGTATGTATAGAGACGACATTACAATCATCATTGTTCAGTTCAATTCTCATGTCGTAGGGGCATATCAAAACCAGGAATAGGGAGCAGATCTTACCCTAGCAATTCTTGAATGAAGTAAGTATAAAGGGCAGGTAAACTGAAACAGGATATCATAAACATAACCAGCGGGCCATTTCCCCAGTTGGTAATCTAGCTAGTCACATACTCCAAACTGACTTTGCAGCAGGTGGCAGGATCATGACGGTTTAATTCTGCCATGTGAGAGGACCTCCCAACACCTGCTCTTGGGGGCGCCCTTATTGTGGGTCTCACAAGAAATTGACTTTTACCAATCAGAAAATCAGGTTTATCTGGCAAATAGGATAGGCCAAAAACAGGCATCTTACTGGGTAAATTCTCATGGTAAAAGAGAAGAAACATTACTGTTCACACCTGCAGACCCCTTTCTTCATGAAGATTCGAATGTACACAGTAACATTTATTGCATGATTTCCTAGGTATATAATCTATGCATTATTCATCAGAATTTAATTTAGCTGAGATGGTTTCTAATCCAGTGCTTAAGCCATAAATGACCAAGAACCAAGCAATCTGAACTCGTGTAAGTTTTGTGATGCTCTCGCTGACGTGCTGCTTACACAGAAGAACAAACTGTTTCCTTCCTCACCCTCATTTTCTGATGTAATCGAAACGTTTTCTATTTTGCCATGCACTTGAAAACAATAAAAATTTGTAGTTTGATCTATTCTTAGATTGATGTTAATAATAAACAGTTTTCAGTTTGTATTAATGAAAAGCTATATTTAGTTTGAAATAGAAAGATGCAGAATAAGAAGGGGAGACTGGTATGGTCCATTATTGCCATCTGTAGCCACCAGCAAGCATATCACTCACCATGGAATCCCCCGGGGACTTGGCAGGCTGGGAGTATGGGGTGGGCAGCCTGCTCCTAGGAAACATACTTTCTAATTGTTAGAAGAGTTTTCATCACTTTTGGAATTTAAAGTATATATATATATATATATATCACATTTAGATATCAGTTTGGAAAGTAATATTTAATATTACCATGGAGTATTAAGGAGGGAGGAAATTTTAACTTTTTTTCCTATGACAAAATATTTGGTTTAAAAATTGCTGAGTGATTTAAACATTATAGCTTATAAAATTATTAAGATAATATACAAGAAGTTTAAAGAGGTAACTATTGTGCATGCCTGATGCTTAAATAGAGCACTTAATAACATCAGTGTTGTTTGCAGCAGTCGCCCTAATATATGCACTCCCTTCTAGATGCTGCTGTCAAAGTAAATGACAATAAATATATTCAAATTGACTTGGGGAGCTTATTTGATATATGTCAAAAGGCATTTTGTTCCTGTGTTTAATAGTGATCTGTGTATAGCTTTGCATACATATATTTTTTCTTTGCTTGTTCTAATATCACTGTTAAAAAAAGACTATGACTATGTTTGGTATTCATATAAATGTTAATATAAAACATCAGCTTTCCATTGTGTATTTAGTAGGGGGGTGTTTAGAAATCCTTTCAGATTTTTGGTAAAATACGAACTTGATGCTGAAGGGTTCCCTTTGGGCTGTGGATACTGAAGCAGTGCATTACTGGCTGCTTAAATTTAATAGACTCAGGGGAAGATTGCAGCTCAGAACATCACTTAGTGTTTGTTTACTGAGTTTTATTTTTTATGGGTTATTTTTTTTTTTTTTTAAGTCAGCTTGGCACTTTTTTCCAGACAATATTTTGGAGGGGAAAGGCTGTGCTATGTCTTTACTTCTAGAGGTTTTGACAGAGACTTCATCTTTTAATGAAATAAATGTAGACTGCTGTAGCAATTAAAAACTTTTTAGCTACTATTTGAATTCCTCTTGAAAAGAAGAGTTCCATATTATATTCTTATAAAGTCTCATCTGTATTATACACTGTGGACACATTTGGATTCCTGTGGTCATGATCAAAATGGCAGTTCTTACCATCACACTAGCAACTTGGTGTGCAGTCTGAAAGCTGGTCTGTTCTATATAGAAATGAAAATGCAGTGTGGGAATGGGAGTAACTGGGTCTTAGAAATTCAAATGTACTGTCATCTAAAAGCAGTTGTGAGTTTAATGTAAGTGGTTGTCACTGTGATGTAATTAGAATTAAAGAATTCATGTAAACTCATGTGTTTAACCTTAAATATTTTTTATTGTTTAAACTTTCTAGCATATGTATTCAGCTTCTGTATTTATATTTAATTAGTGTTTTCATGATATTTATAATAGTCTCTTAACTGGTTAAATGGAGTATTGGTATGGTGCATTGTACTTGGTAGGAAAACTGTCTTCTAAAAGATGTACATATGTGTGTAGGCATATGTGATTGTATATAATAAAGAGAATGGTCATAGAAATGCCCACAGTGAATTACAGCTTCATATCTGCTTTCTCAATACATGTGTTAGTTTTTAATGATAGTAAGATTCATTAGATAGCTTTCTGTAGTGGTATATTTAACTTGGAGTTCTGGTGTGACACTGTAGGATAATCACTGGGTTGCTAACTGCAAGGTTGGTGGTTCAAACCCACCAGCTGTTCCTTGGAAACCCTGTACAGGGTCCATGAGTTGGAACCAACTTGACAGCACTTACAACAATAGCAGCATATTTAACTGGAAGATCCACAAGACAAGTAGTATTTTCAGATTTTTTGTTTGACAAATAATTTACACTTGACAAAATTCATATATTTTTAGTTTTGAATAATTAGTCACCACCACCCCAGTAAAATGCATTTTTATCATCCCAGGAAATTGCCTCATACCCCTTTCTAGTAAATCTCTCCTCACAACTATTGTTCTGACTTCTAACATCATACATCAGTGATGCTTGTTCAGGAAGTTCATTTAAATGGAATCATACTTGTATCTGGCTTTTGCTCAGCAGGCTTTTGAGACTCATGTTTTTGAATGTGTTGGTAGTCTGTTCTTAATGACTGAGTAGCTTTGTACTGTATGAATACTACACAATTTAGCCGTCTTCAGGGGCCTTGTTTATGTCTCTTTAAAAAGCTAACAGATGTACAAATCTCAACAATGCTATTTGGTTGAGGTGTAGTAAGAAAATGACAAACTAGCTTGTTTTTTTATTTTCTTGTTCTATCTATCACTGAGTTGGCTTCTAATATGATGAAGTCTTAGGAGGCAAGTAGGTATTTAAATGCTGACTTTTAACTTAGGCCTGGGGTGGATGACTGACTTGGGTATTTCTGCAGGGATAACATTGCCTAGAATGAGCTTCCCAGTTCACTGGTCAAGCACATGCCTGAATATGGGTTATTGTTAGCTTTGCCTTGAATATAGCAAGAAAGTCTAGGTAACATGTCCTTGATGTGCACATAATCATCCAATTTTTACCTTTTTTGTAAGTAATAAAACTATTCACTATAAAAATTTTCAAATTTTTGGAAGTTGAACCCTGTTAAAATTGATCATTACAAGCTGAGTAAATGAAGACATTCAGTGCGTACCTGAGTTAACTTGTTAATAATGTGAAGGTCATTTCCTTTGTTCCTTTCTGAATTTACTTTAAAGCCATGTTTAATCCTATTAAATCCTACCTGCCCGGTCCTTGTGACAATCAAATTTATACCCTGGGTGAATCTTAACAGTACATAGCTTTGTTTTGTAAAGAGTTCTTAAATTGCAAGTCTTCAAGTGACTATATTAAGAATTATGAAGTCCATGCACTTCATGTGTCAATAATGATTATCCAGTTCACGTATTTAAGAACTACACGATTTAAACTTAGCTGTTTGGCCAATATTTAGATATACAAAAGTGTATATAACATGATTTTAAATAATTCTAATAATTTTTGAGCATTTTGATTATTAATCAAGATTTCAGCCCTTTTAGACTTGCAGAATGTGCCCTTTGGTTGTTTAAATGGTTACAGTTAAAACATATTCATAAGTGTTTTTGTATCCAAAAAAACCCCACCAAAAATGGAATAGAAGCAAATACTGTTGAACAATGATGCATGGAAGGAATTTTAATCATTGAAATGAAACGAAATATGATAGGATGAGTGTAAAACCAATGTCCTCCCATGTAAATGATCACTCAATTTACAATAAAAACAAAAAGCAAATCCTTCAACAATTAAAAAAAGAAGATTTCCAGCCCTTTAAGGGCAGAGCCACCGGTTTTGTTTCTCTCATTGTAGCACAAAGTTTAATAATGTTCAGCATTCACTTTATTTTTCGTTGTGTGCTGTTGAGTTGGTTCCAATTCAGTGACTCTGTATAGCATGGCTGGTAGGTTTGAACTGTTGACCTTGTGGTTGCTAGTCCAATGCTTATCCTACAACACAATACCTATGCAATCAAAAGTATAGAAATGAACTTTTAAGATATACCCACTCACTTACTGACAAGGAGTCCTGGTGTTGTGCTGTAGGATAAGCACAAGACTACAAGGTTGGTTTGGACCACAAGGTCAATGGTTCAGATCCAACATTTTCTTCTCGGAAACCCTATACAGAATTGCTATAAGTCTGAACTGACTCAATGACACTTAAAAACTTATTGACATGGTTAGGTTCCAAAGAACCAGTAATTAAATGAAAATGGATGATAATTACATCATTATGTAATTGCCAAATTACATCACTACATAGCTGCCAAGCCACTGAGAATCATGGCTCAGCCATGTTGGCACATGACCCTAGCCATCACAACCAGTGTTAATGTTACTCTCACATAGCCCTTAGGCATACATTATTGAACATTTATGGTGTTGATAGAAAAAATGGTCATAGAAAAGTTTTTTGTTTTTTTTTTTACTATTGTCATAACAACAACAACAACAACATTATCATAATGTGAAATGTCAAATAATGAGATAGTTGATACGTGAGAAGTAGGTGTATCATTCTCCATTTGTCAGAAGTTAACATCTCAATCTAGAAACAGAGAAATAATTTATTCCTGTACTTAGTTTCAGGAGTCAGTGATTTCTAAAACTTGAACTTGTTAAGGTGCCACTGCGTCAGTTCTGACTCATCGCTTTGTAAAACAGAACAAAACCCTTACCTGGTCCTGTACCAGACCCACAAGTGTTATTTTTGAGTGCAGTGTTGCAGCCATTGTGCCACTCCATCTCGTTGAAGGGCTTCCTCTTTCATCCTGACTCTATACCAAGGAGCTCTGGTAGCGTAGTGGTTACGAATCGGGCTGCGAACCTTAAGGTCAGCGGTTCGAAACTATCAGCCGCTCCGCGGGAGAAAGATGAGGCTTTCTACTCCCGTAAAGATTTACACCCTCGGAAACCCTGTACAGGGTCGCTATGGGTCGGACCCGACTCGATGGCACTTAACAACAACAACAACATACCAAGCGTATAAAGTCTATACCTTATTCATTGTCTGCTGTGGGTTAATGTGCTGGGTTGCAAAGTCTGTTTGAACCGCAGGACTGGTGGTTCAAGTTCACTATCCACTCCTCGGAGGTCCTATACAGGCCCAGAAGGGTTGGAACTGGCTCAGTGGCACTTAACAACATGCCAAGCATAATGTCCTTTTCTAGGAACTGG